GGGGGGGGGGGGGGGGGGGGGGCCCTTCGCCGTTCCCGGAAGTTACTTACTTCCGCGTTCGCCGACCAACCGGTTCGCAGGGACCGCTGCGAACCGGTTGAAACCCACCCCTAGTAAGAGCTCAATAGGTTAAGCAGAAATCCAACTGATAAAGCTTTTCATAAATTATTAGATATCTGTGTGGGCAAAATTTTCCAAGGTTATTTATACCTTCCAGACACCTTTGAGCCCAAGCTATGAATCAGCAAGATTTGGTTCAACTCATTTACTCATTTTACTCATAATTATAACCACACTGCCCTACCTACTGTGGTTGTTGCACAAAGATACCGAAGATAAATTGCTTTGCTTTCAGCCCTTAAAAATAAGGAATGCATATTTGTTATTCTGTATTTTACTTGAATTCTGAAAAATCTTCGTTGGAAAAAATGTCCATTTGGGTTCAGTTCCAAGTGGGAAGAAAGACACTGGAAACGTGGAGACTGCTGGGAAAGATGGCTTAATGGTGGACAGGGCCACATGGTTTGAGGTCTTGGGCAAAAAGAGCACAGGGATGAGATGGGGAGAGAGATTTATACCCTCTCTTTATTTATTTTATTTATTTAGTTTGTCGAACATGTACATATCAAATATGTCAAACATGTCCAGGTGTAAGTATAAACATGGACATGAAAGGAAATGAGTACAAATAAATGGGGACAGTAAGACAGGGACGATAGGCCTCACCTTGGAGCTTCCTATTCCTGTGTAAGAAATGTACTCTGATTGGTTGTCAGACTCTCATGGGGCCATGAAGGGATAACTTCGTAGGTTGTCTTGAGTCCCAGGCCTGGTTGAATCTTGCTGGGTGATGATGTAATGAAGGGGCTTTGGGCAATTCCTATTATGGCTTAATGGCTTTGCCTTGGTTTAGATCTTGAGTGAGGGCTAATCCTATCATATCCTGAGGGCCATGTCTTTTCTTTTGTAGATAGGTTGACACCAAAATATCTGCTGTGTGTGCAGGGAGCTGAGGCTCTGAGTTTATGTCTTTAGAAACATGTTTCTCCTTTAGGGAAAATACAATATTCTGCCTTTTTAATATTTCCTAGAATATTTCATTTTTCTAGGGGAGGGGTAGGTGCTAACTTCCTGTCCAGGACCTATTCAAGTTGGGTAGCTAATACATTTAAATTCCTAAATATATATATTTAAATACAGAGTGGCTTATAAATTATTAAACTTCTTCTTTTTTTCCCTCTCAGAACTCCTTCCCACTTTTAAAAAGGACAGGAGGACTTCAAAAGAGCTTTTGCCTACCGTGTTTTCCCCCTAATAAGGCTGGGTTTTATTTTCTTATCACCCCAGAAATAAGCACTTGGCCTTATTTTCAGGGAGGTCTTATTATTTTTGAGGAGCAGGAGGCAGCGAGCGTGGTCACCTCATGGCTGCTGCTGTGTTGCAATATGTTCAGGGGGGTGTCTTATTTTCAGGGAGGCTTATTTTAGCGCATGCGCTCAAAAGCCCAATTTGGCTTATTATCTGGGGAGGTCTTATTTTTGGGGAAACAGGGTAGTTTTGCTTTTGGGGGAACCCCATGAACCCTAGCAGCACTTTTTAAAACAATCAATCAATTGATTTAAGACAGGGGTGGGCAATTAATTTTCCCAAAGGGTCACAGGGAAAAAAAAAACCCCAGACTGTTGCATAGAGTGGAACTACTAAGAGGTTATACTTAATTCTGTTCAATATTAATTTTATAAAAAGCAGTAAGTTATATGGTTTTGATCAGCTGCTACAGGTAAGAAGACATGATATGCTTCATTTACATTTGATTTCTAATTTCCGATTGATCTCATGTGGGCCAGATAGAGACAGCCAAAGGGTCGAATGTGGCCCAGGGGGGCAGAAAATGCCCAGGTCTGCTTTAAAAAAAATATGCTGGATTATTATCATTAAATATGAGCTAACAGTGTGCAGCTGCAGCCAAAAAACCAATGCAATCCTAAATTGCATTAAACAGAGGGATACAATCAAGATCAAGTGAGGTACTAATACCACTCTATAAAACCCTAGTAAGATCACACCTAGAGTACTGCATCCGGTTTTGGTCACCACACTATAAAAAAGATGCTGAGACTCTAGAAAAAGTGCTGAGAAGA